TTATTAACTGAACGTTTATGTTAATGGCATAATTCCGTATATAGAACTACTATGTCGTTACCAGACACTGATGCACCTAATTTACCGCCGTAAGCAGGTCAGACGTTATGCATTCACAACTTCCCAAAGATTTCTTACCGTAGCCAGTTGCTTTATGATTTCATCAGAAGCGCCGAGGCTAGCCAATCCGATCTCTTGCGAGAATTGAGCAAACTCCACGTCAGCGAACAGTGGGGCGTGCCCAAGCAACTCATGGCAGATGTCGCTAGAAATGTGAAATAAATTTGTTACGTTCATTTTTACCTTACTTGTTACCGTTATTACCGTGTTCTCAAAAAAAAGAAGTTTTGCGTGAAAATTTGGAAAATAAGTCATCCACTTACGGTTCTGGGGTGTACTTAGGAGCAGAGTGATGTCGAATATACTGAGTAGAGTGGAAAACTCGAAATGCAAGACCTGCCAGGAAATCACGTGAGGAAAGAAGTCCAGCAACGGGACGAAGAGTGAAACCGGTGCAATCTAGAAATAAGACACTTTCTAACATTTAATAATGCGGACAGCCACGCAATAACTTTGAAGTAGTAACCTTTAAGAAAATCAGACACATCCTGGAGTTGTGGTATGTTGTCAGCTCTGAATCCACAATTTTGCTGCAGCAGTGGGAATATGTAGTTGAACTCCTTACAGGCATGTTTAGGGTATAATGCCACAAGCTCCTAAATTTCTTGACTTTTTGCAGTGTCTAGTAATAATTAAAACTTCATTTCGCCTACATTGTAAACAGTCCGCCATGTTTCTATCTCCTGTGCTGTGTATTCGATTCGAGGAATTTTGTCGCCACTAAAACACTCTTTTTCGAAATGGATGAGATAATTGATTGAAGAATGACTTGACATACTGTCTAAAGTTGAATGCGATATCAGCAAAGTATTTACGGCGCTCGCGATAGGTGGTGTCTTTAAAACCCTAAAGAACACCAGAACTAAGTAACAAACAAGAGATGAGGCCATTTCCTCATTGAAAACTCTCATTTATATGATTATATAGCCTAAAATTGTGATTAACAATGCCTGAAGCCTTACTGGATGATCAGAATCCAATTCTGCTCCATAGCTAAGAATTCGATTAGCGAACTGGTCGATATCAGCGATTCGGCGAGGGAACCAAGGGACAGAATCTGAAATTAAGCCTTACATATAATTATACGCTAAATTTCAGTGATACATTTCAAAAAGAGTAAGTTTTGTTTGCCTTTATTCAGCTTACTGCCGCCATTCCAGTCTTGTACCATCAGCCCACTTCCGTGCTTTTTGAAAATCTCGATGAGCTAAACAAATGGCATTTTTTTTTC